GGTTCATACTGGGTCAGGAGGTAGAGGATCATCAGGGGCTCCATTGTCCCTCTTTGGAGGGACACACCCACAGGGCTACCATTTGACCCCAGAACTGAAGAAGCTTCTCGTACGAGTTTGTTTTTGCTCAGAGACTGACCTTACCTTTGTGTGCATGCACGTTTGTAGGTGTGTGTGTAGAGAGAGTGTGCGTGTTTGTGTGAGGACGCCTGAGGATCTGATAGCACTGTTGTTCCCACTGTTGAAGTCTTGAACGACTGAATAAAGCTTGTTTGTGTGAGGACAATGAAGGAAGCTAGAGAATAAGGTCTGTGGATATCAGGTCTCCAGTTTCCCGCTTTGTCTGAGGACACAGAAACTCCACCCTGAAACACAGCAGCAAGCATCTATCTTCTCACAGCTAGGCACAGGAACATTAGACCACAGCAAATCCATCATCAGGCAGGTGTATCTGCAGCACATACAAGACTGGAGTGTGGTTAAATTTTCTGTGGTGCCAACTTTTTCTTTTTCTTATTTCTTGAATTTTGCGTAGAAATCTGTTACAGCAGCATTTTCATGGCTTCTCAGGGCCTCCAGATCTTGGGTGTTTTACTGGCCTTCTTTGGTTGGCTGGGCGCCATTATCACCTGCGGTTTGCCCATGTGGAGAGTCACCGCTTTCGTGGGGGCGAATATCGTCACAGCCCAGGTGATCTGGGAAGGCTTGTGGATGAGCTGTGTGGTCCAGAGCACGGGGCAAATGCAGTGTAAGATGTACGACTCCATGCTGGCTCTGCCTCAGGACCTGCAGACTGCCAGGGCCATGGTGATCATCTCTGTGATTGTTGGGATATTCGGCATCCTCATGGCTGTGATCGGAGGAAAATGCACCAACTGCATGGAGGATGACGTGGCCAAAGCTAAAACCTGCATAGTGGCTGGAGTGATATTCATAATAACCGCCTTGCTGATCTTGATTCCTGTATCGTGGTCAGCTCATGCAGTAATCAGCGACTTTTATAACCCCCTATTGGTTGAGGCTCAAAGAAGGGAGCTTGGATCTTCACTTTACATAGGCTGGTGCTCTGCTGCGGTGCTGCTGATGGGAGGTGGTCTTCTCTGCAGCAGCTGTCCCCCAAAAGTTGGTGGCAGACCCTACATACCTGCCAAATTCATACCTGTAAGAAGCATATCTTCAAATGTTGACTATGTGTGAGTGTCTCAGCTACAATGCTAATAAAAAGGCACAGCAGTGTACTCGAACAATTCTGAAGGCTGAAGGCAGTAAAAAAAACAGATCACATTTTACTACATTTAATAGGTTTCATACATGTCTTGATCATATCTTGATTCTTTTTTTAAGTATATTTTAGGTTACTGAATGAATGTCAAT